AGCCTTAACAGTACTTAACAACAACAACAACAACATGTTATTCCTCTAGTGGTTAGCCTTAAATTTAACCACACATAACATATTATTTAAAATTCATAAAATTATATAATGTACTGACCATCTCTTAGTCCATAAAAACAGATCAAAGCACTTTAGCTCCAATCTTCTCTCTTCCAATATGCCTTGTTTTGTTGTTGTTGTATTGAGTGAACATTTCAGTTTTTCACTTATGTATTAGACGTCTTTTTCAATTGTTTTGGTAATGCAATATTTGCTTGGATTTACTTACACATTTACCATCAAAATTGTCTTCATTCACTATTTCTTCTTAAATATCAAATCTTAATTTTGAAATAATTTTCCTTCTTGAGCTTTACCTTTCATTTCTTGGTAATAAAAAAAAACCTCAGTTTTGTTTTGTTTTGTTTTGTTTTGTTTTAAAGTCTATAAATATTTTTACTTTACCCTTTTTCTTTAATGCTGCTTTTTCTAGGTACAACTACAGGTTGATAGATACCATCAAGTTTGTTTTCTTTTTAATTCACCTTTTTTGTTACTACTGATTGTTATTAAGTGCTGTTGAGTTGGTTCTGACTCATAGCAACCCTGATTCGAGAATTATATATTTTCAGTGTTTTAAAATTTATACAATTAAGTATTATTTATTATCCTCTAAATGCTGCATATAGCCAGATAATATCTAATATGTAATTTAAAATTTCTTACCTAGTTTAAAATGTGTTTTCATTTCCATGTAGTCTCTTCTTTGATGCATGGCTTATTTAGAAGTTAAGCCTATGTATTAATTTTTAAATTCTGTGATCTTGTGATTTGTACTAGTCAAAAAAAAGCATCGGTAATGTGCCTCAAAAGGATTCTGGTTAATCCTTGTGTATAGGATGTGTATAAGATGCTGTATGACTGTGTGAAGAAGCCTGTCTGACCTTCCTAAGGATGGAAGGCCACAAGGAAAGAAAGACCTAGCCATCCCATAGAGCCAAGTTACATTGCATCCCTGTGCAGCTGTATGAATGAGCCCAGGAGAACCCGCCACCTAGCCACCCACCCCATAGGATCTTGAGAGGTTCATTGTTTGTTGTATTGAGTTACTATGTTTTCGGGTGGTTAGTTATGCAGCAATTGATGATAGACACAACTATTATATTTTTGTGGCCCTTTGTTTATTTGTGTGTTACCTTCACTTTTAAATAACATGATTCCTAGTGCCTATCTTCTTTCCCTCCAAATTACATTTTAATTATTTCTTGCTGAACAGTGAAGTACTGAAGACATCAAAGAAGAATTAATTTAGAATAATTAATCATATCAAATTTTGTTAATGAAGACATGGCAAAATTATTTGGAGTAATTAACGATATTTAACCCACCCATTGGGTTCTTGAGGCATTTTAAAAAAAACAAACAATGAACTTGCATTTTAAGTCAAGTTCTCTCAGCTTTAGACTTTTCACATTGTTACTTGTTTATAAAAATTGATGACTGCCTATATGTTTTATATTTTTGCTTAAGATCTGTGGTTCTTGAAATCTTCCAGTTTAGCAAAAGCAATGTACAGATTATTTTGACTTATAATATTAAAATAATGTAATTTTAAAAATGAGTTTTAACTATACCTTGTTGGTAAGTGCTGTTGAATTGGTTCCAACCCATAGTAACCCTGCATAGGGTTTCCAAGGAGCGGCTGGTAAGCTTGAACTGCCAACCTTGTGGATCAAACCAACTATACAGTCTAGCGCATTAACCCACAGCGCCACACGAGGGGAAACTTGATACAGTTTGTACTAGAGTAAGAGCAACAATTTCTTTTTTAATTTGAATGTTTTAAAACCCAGCCAGAAAGGAAAGATGGCGGTCATGAAGCTGAGGCAGCTCCGCTGACCCTAGAATTGTTGCCCACAGATCCATTTCTACTCATCTTATCCTTTCTTGGACTGCCATGATATAATAAATTGTTGCTATGTCTGTGAAGACTTAACCAGCTATCAAATCATGATCAGCTGTGGAGAAGGCATTGCAAAAAGTACTGACTTATATTGGAGGAAGAGAAAACACAGAAGAATCAGTGTTAGAAATCTCTCGTCATAGGCCTGTACGCTGACGATACATTAACCATTATGCTACCATTAAAAAGGCCTGGGATAATTTCAAGAAATAATTGGAACCCAAGTATCCGCGGATGGCCTTGTCTCTGAAAGAGGGCACTCAAGAGGAAGCTCTTGATGTTGTAGACGCTCAGATTGGTTCCAAGTTCCTGATGATTATAGATGTTCCTATTGTATCTACGATGGACAGAAGTTAATTGTTCCTGAGTTGTTGGGAAACATGGCACTGTCTAATCACTATTGTTCTGAGGGCTTGTTAGACATTGAAACAGCTGGCAGAGGATTCCAGCAGAGACAGGGACTGAAATATTGTCTCTCTTTAACTTTTGGTGTACACACTGGTTTGAGTCAGTATATAGCAGTGGAAACTGAAAAAGGCCAAAACAAAAATGAAGTTTCCTACCAATGTCCAGACCAAATAGCTCAACATTCAGCTACTATTGACATGTTTATCATATGTGCTATTTTTACTGACTGGTTTACCTCTTATGTCAGCAATGTTGTATTAGGTGGCTTTCCTATCATCAGAGACCAAGTTTTCAGACATGTTCAGAATCCAGAGTGTGTTGCAACAAATGGAGATACTTCAGTTTTAGTTTCCACGTAATTTCTGCCAGAACTTAGCTCTGTGCATCCTCTCCACTATTTCTTCACATGCCGAATCAAGATTGAAACGTCAAAGGATGTGCTTCCCAAGAAGGCTTGTCAGTTGGACAGTTGCTATTGGAGAATAACAAATGCTTAAGGTGATGCAGAAGAAGTTGAAAGACTTGGAGTGATTGGTGAATATCCAATCATCAGCCCTTGTTGGGTATGTGAATATACAAGTTGTACTGCATTCTCTGAAGTATCAGGGTATATGGAAGGATATTATACTTTCCATTTTGTTTACTTTAAAGAAAAGGTCTTTAATGTTGCCATTCCCCGATTCCATATGGCATGTCTGACACTTAGGGTGTCTGAGTCCTGGTGTGACACTGTGGGAATGCACCAGACTGCAAAGCCATTTGAACTGCAAGGGTAGCAGTTCAAGCTCATGGGCTGCTCCTCAGAAACCCTAAACAGGGTTGCTATGGGTGAATACCGACTCTTAACAACAGCACTTAACAACAACAACAACAATAGCTCAATTGAATACAATTGAGAAGTAGTCACTGAATGTTTGGGAAATGTCCTCTGGCTCCTGGGATGACCCTGATGGATGGATACCAACTAAGTTTGGGAAGATAGGAATGATTCTAATCTTACGCAGCACTGACACATCCCCAACGTCAGTATGGAAAGAGAAGGGTGATGACGTATCTTGAGGTCATTATGCCTGTGGTATGTGTGGATTCAGTAAGGGAAGTTTAGGAGGAATGTGTCCTGCTGTGTATCCAGTACTGGGAAATTCTCTGCTTCCTATAATAGTCCTCGATTTTTGATTAGCCCTAACTATTAAAAAATTGTTTCTTAATGTTGAACCAAAATCCACCTCTCTAACTTTGTCTGTTGGTTTAAATCAGGGGTCCACAAATTATGGCCCATGGACAAAATCCACCCTGATGACTGCTTTTGTAAATTAAGTTTTATTGGAACACAAAAACAAAACCCAAACAAACCCAGTCATAGTTATGCCCACGTGTATATAAGGATATGTGAATTATTCTATTCTCAACTGCATTTGGGAATGCAGTGGCTTATATGATAAACACAGGACTGTGAACCACAAGGTCTGTGGTTTGAGCTCGCCAGCTGCTTCACAGAAGAAAGATGAAGCTTTCTGTTCTTGTGAAGATTTAAAATCTTAGGAACGCTATACAGGCTCGCTATGAATCCGAACCAACTCAATGGCACTTAACAACAACAACAATTGCATTTATATCCTTGGTGAAGAAGAAAAAAAAGCCAATCATGAAAAGAACAACTATTCTCCTTTTGTGGAATCCTTCAATTAATGCCACTGCTGGCACAGCAATTGAAAATAAAGAGGAGAAAACAGCAGTATTTCTTTATCAAAATTTAAAATTTCATATAAACTGAATTATTAACAACCAGTCTGGTTTTTATCATGCATTTGTGAATATTTTTCTGGAAGATTTGATGATAGTCCCTCTGTTAATAATATTAACATTGGCAGTAAATGTGGTATAAAAGGAGCACAAACCTGGAATCTCGTGAGCCGAGTGTTTTCTTCTGATGGTGCCACTGATAAGCTATGCGATCTTTAGAAAGGTACCTGCCCGGGCCGTGAATGTCTTCATCAGTAAAAAGAGCACTGAGTTAGGTGGTGTCCATCTCCAAAAGTCTATTCATCCTGTGACGTCAAAAGACAGAGTGCATTGCTCTGCTGTGGTCTCTTCAGGGAAAAGGCTGGTGTTTCCTATTCATACACTTTATGGGATAAGACATTATTTCAGTTCTTTGTGTATTGCTCATGCTGATGAATAGTCAGTAGAAGAATTTATATAATTATTTTCAAATCTGTGCTGAACTGACTGTATAATATGTGTATGTTAAAATCTAAGTGACCCAAAACCAAGTGTTTTTTTTTTTTTTTTTATGAGATTAGCTTACTATAAAAAAAGTATTCTGAGAAATAATAAGAAATATCAAGGACCTATCTTTTCCAGTTTTGATTTAATTAAATATTAGTGTTTCCCTTGAAATTTTACTATATATGTATATATTTAGATTGGATACCCAATTTTAATTTATGAAAACCAAAGTAAACTTACCTTCTACATTTTTAAGAGATATGTTTATATGCCTCTATGGATAATTAATTTTAATGTCTGGTAATCTGGAATTGATGCTAAGAAAACTATTTTTGCCTGAGAATTATAAATAAAACCTGCTGAGATATTTTATTTTCAAAATGTTTCTTTATTTCTTTAGAACATTAGCCCTGATTAAACCAGATGCAGTATCAAAGGCTGGAGAAATAATTGAAAGAATAAACAAAGCTGGATTCACTATAACAAAACTCAAAATGATGATGCTTTCAAGGTAATTTTTTTGATCGTTTTGTTACGTACTGTCTGGGTCTTTTCTTTTTGTTGTTACATTTTTATTGTGGTGAAAATACACTCAACAAAACATTTGCCAATTCAACAATTTCTAAATGTATAATTCAGTGACATTGATTACTTTCTTCATGTTTTATAACCATTATTGCTATCTTTTTCTAATGTCTGGCCCTTTTTATAAAAATCACTTACTGTTGTCTAGCATAAAACCCTCCAATTAAATGACAAATAATAGAATACTAGTGCTATTAGAGTTAGAAAATTTGAGACAAGTCTTGAATTCATAAATAATAAATAATAATTTTGGACTCTAAGCATGGGAATGCGGTGGCTCCACACAGTAATCACTGGACTGTGATCTTACAACATCCACGGTTTGAGTCCTCTAGACTCTCTGTGGGAGAAAGACAAGGCCTTCTGCTCCTTTGGAGACTTAAAGCTTTCATGACCCTATACAGAGTTCCTATAAGTCAGAACTGACTCATCGTCACTTAACAGCAGCAACTATTCATCACAGTAGGGATTGTTAGGAGTCCTGGTATGGCACTATAGGATACACACTGTTTAAACCCACTGGCCGCTCCTAGGAAATCCTATACAGTGTCACTATGAGTCACAACCAACGCGATGGCTCTTGACAACAGCAGCAGTATGTCTCATTTTTAAATCATCTTCCCTAGTCCCATCTACTTTATAATAATAATCACTGATAAGTGTAATATTTTCCTTTTAACATAGAAATGTAACATACTGTGTAAAGATGATAGAAGGGGAAGTGATGTCTGTTTATTTCTGTTTTGATCGTGGAGTGCATTTTATTAGTTTAAGGTTTCATGAAAGTGATGCATTTGGAACGGTTTATGTTGATTTCTCTCTTTTTACCTATTTATTACTCTGATACGAGTCCTAGTGTGGCACTTGTAGGATAAGCACTAGACTGCTAACTGCAGTGTCATCAGTTCAAACATACCAGTTGCTCCTTGGAATTCCTATATAAGGTTGCTTTGAGTTGGAACCGACTTGATGGCACCTATCAACAACTCTGTTAAGTAATCTATTGCTATCTTACCAAATATTTTCTAAGTCTTGATCCTAAGATACCATTGGTTTCTTCCCACTTGCAGCAAAGGAGAGTGAAGGAAACTCCCTTAGTTATCCAATATAAGTGAATGGCTTTAACAAACAAATGTATTTTCTCATAGTGTGGTGTTGTTGTTAATAGCTGTCAAGTCAGTGCTGACTCATAGGGACCCTGCTTGTATTGGGTTTCCAAGGAGCAGGTGGTGGGGTTGAACTACAAATCTTGTAATTAGCAGTCTACCGCTTATCTTATCCAGGACTCCTACAAATCTGAATTTAAGGTGCCCACTCCATAAGAAGACTTTCTTTCTCTGTTAGCACTGGGGGAAGGTCCTTGTCATCAACCTTCCTCTGGATCTAGAAGTTTCTCAGTGCAGGAATCCCAGGTCCAAAGAAAGTGTTCTGCTCCTCCCAGCTCTTTGTTCTTGGAAGTGGGAAAACATTCTTTCTGCTAATTTCTCTCTGCCTTCAGGTCTTACATAATAGTGAAGGGCAGTGACTCAAGTTACATCCCACTTTAGTCTTACCTCATTAGCATAATCTTGTGGAGCTGTGGGTTAATACATCAGACTGCATAGTCGTTTGAACTGGAAGGTCTGTGGTTCAAACTCAACAGCTGCTCCTTGGAAATCCTATACAGGGTCGCTATGGGTCAGAACCAACTCAAGGGCACTTAACAAAAACAACAATATCCTCATTAACATGAGCCAGTCCTGCCTCATTAACATAACAGACAGCTCACTCCCAAATGAGACCATAGCCACAGGTATAGAGACTAGGATTTACATTGTATCACAAAATAGTGGATAATCAAACCACAAAATGGAGGACAACTATATAATACTGGGAATGATGGCATAGCCAAGTTGACAGATATTTTTGGGAAGTGCAGTTCAGTCATGACAGAAACTAAACATTCAGGGAAGCAATGAGTCCAGAGTACTAATGACCCACACAAATCACAACCTCCTTCTAGCTAGAGAGTAGAAGAACTAGATAGTGCTGTTACCAGTACCAACGATTTTGACCAGGGATAGAATAGAGGGTCCTGGTTTGGTTAGAATGGGATAAAAATGTAGAACAAAATTCAAATTTATAAAAAGACCGGACTTCATTACTCAGGAATGGTACAGCAAGCAGAACAGGCATCATGTTTGTGTCATTCTTCTGGGGATAGTGTGATGTGTGCCCACATGGATACTATGTACTCAATGGGTTGCCTCACAGCCAAGGAATATTGAACTTGGGTTGCTCAGTGTTTCATAGTAAGCAGTAAACAAGCCTAATCTTTGTTTTGGAGACTGCTTCATTACTCAGGGTTGCTTGCTGTAAACCCAACACTGGTAGATGGTTAAGATAGAGAGCCTTCAGAGTCTTGCATTCTTGGCATTTCCAGAAAGGAGCATGAGACATTCATGGAGGAGTTTCTCCCAATGCTAAATAATTTTCCTAAAAGTATGTTTTTAAATGCCACTTCCTCCATAATGACAATCTTTGAAAGCTAGCAGCAGAGTTCTAGCTGACTTTGTATTTCTGGTCCTTGAATCAGTGCTGTTAGATGAAGTAAATATTACTTGAAAGAATCAATGGATAAATTCTTATGAAAAAAATGTTGAGTTTCTTCAAAAAACAATACATAACAACAAAACACTTTCTTGGTGAATGTATTTATTAACATCTGTCTCCTGGTGTGGCACTGCAAGAGAATGCACTGGACCACAAGGTTAGTTTCTAGCACTGGCTTGTCAGTTTGTCGTATTGTGGTGGTTTGTGAATTGCTGTGATTCTGAAAGCGATGCCATTGGTATTTTAAATACCAGCAGGGTCACCCATGATGGACAGATTTCAGATCAGCTTCCAGACGAAGACAGACTAGGAAGAAAGAGTGACGAACTACTTCCAAATATTTAGTCACTGAATACCTTATGAATAGCCCAAAAACACTGTCAGATAGAGTGCCGGAAAATGAGCCCCTCAGGTTGGAAGTCACTCAAAATGCGACTGGGGAAGAACTGCTTTCTCAAAGTAGAGTTGACCGTGATGAAAAGAATGGAGTAAAGCCCATGGGAGAAAAACCCACAGGACCTTCATTTGCTGATGGGGCACGACTCAAAATGAAGAGAAACAGCTATAAACATCCATTAATAAATGGTATATGGAATGTATGAAGTATGAATCTGGGAAAATTGGAAGTTGTCAAAAATGAAATGGAACTCATAAACATCAACATCATAGGCATTAGTGAGCTGAAATAGACTGGTATTGGCCATTTTGAATCTGACAACCACATGGTTTACTATGCCGGGAATGACAAATTGAAGAGGAATGGTGTTGAATTAATTGTCAAAAAGAACATATTCAGATCAGTCATGAGGTACAACGCTATCTGTGATAGGATAATATCCATGAGCCTACAGGAAAGCCCAGTTAATAACCACTGTTATTCAAATTTATGCACCAACCACTAGAGCCAGTGAGGATGAAATAGTAGAATTCTACCAACTTCTTCAATCTGAAATTGATCAAACATGCAATCAAGATGTATTGATCA